CCCACCATGTGACTGTATTTGGAGAAAGGGCCTTTAAGAAGATAATGAAGGTTACATGAGGTCATAAGGATGGGTGCCTAATCCCATAGGACTGCGGTCCTTATACTAAGGGAAGAGACAGCAGGGCTCTCCCCGTGCGTGCAGAGGAAAGCCATGGGAAGACACAGAGGGAAGAGGGCCATCTACAGGCCAAGGAGGGTCCTCACCAGAAACCAACCCTGCTGGCACCTTAATCTTGGACTTCTGGACTCCAGACCATGAGAAAATGGGTTTCTGTTCCTGAAGGCACCTGGTCTGTGGTATTTTGCTACGGCAGCCCTAGCAGACTAACATACCTTCTCTCTCGCTCCCTCCCCCTCTTTATTGTGGTAAAGTATACAATTTACCATTTTCACGATCTTTAAAATTTTTTTTTAATGTTTGTTTATTTTTGAGAGAGAGAGAGAGAGACAGAGCATGAGCAGGGGAGGGGCAGAGAGAGAGAGGAGACACAGAATCCGAAGCAGGCTCCAGGCTCCATATCCCCTCTTTCTCCCCTTCCCTCAGCCCCTGGCTACACAAGTCTGCTGTCCCCACTGACGTGCCTGTTCCGGACATTGCACATAAAAGGAATCACACACTACGTGGTCTTTTGCGACTGGCTTCTTTCGTTCAGTGTGATGTTTTCAAGGGGCATCCACGCTGTAACATGCCTCAGTGCCTCCCTCCTTTCTATGGCTGAACACTACCCCACCGTATGGATCTACCACATTTTTTTTTACCCATCAGCAGCACCCCTTCTCTCCTGAACCCACAGTCAGGGTTTGACCCCTTCCACTCCATCAGCACAACCCCCTACAGGGTCACCAATGCTCTCCCTGCTGCTAATGTAATTCTTAGTCTTTTTCTCAGCTGACCTGTCATCACATTTAACTCTGTTACCGCGCTCTCTTCAAAATACTTGTCTACGTGGCTTCTGGGACACCGGTTTCTCTAGGTTCTCCTCCATGCCCATGGCCCACTGTCCCTTGCTCAGTGAAGCATCTGCTGAGCACCGGATGTTAAAGAGCAAACTCTCACCCTGACCCCTGGTACGCTCCACTTCCCTTACCTGCTTCATTTTTCTCCATAGCACTTATCTTCTGACATGTGATATGTGTACTTATTAGTTTGGTCTGTCTTCTTCCAATAGAACATAAACTCCACAAGGGACTCCATGGGACGCCTGGACTGTTTGGTGCACTCTTAGATGGCCAGCAACTAAAACAGGGCCTGGCACACAGTAGATGCTTAATAAATATATGTGAAATAAATGACTAAGTAAGTATGTGAGCAGCTGCGGATCTCCGAAGACAAGCCAACCACAACTCTACTTGTCCATCTGCGTGTAGAAGCCAAAACACTCCTCGTGAAAGTCAGAAGAACAGCCCAGACAGAATCTTCCCAAACTAAGAGGCACCTGGAGATGGGTGAGATTTAGAGGAAACCTCAGCCTTCGTGGAGCCCCCAGGGCACCTTAGTCAGGAGAGAAGCACCACTGATTCACTCTTTCAGACAGTGGAGCAGTGTTTGAGGACCCAGCGCAGGGCTTCTGGGACTTTCATGTGAGTATGACTTGCCAGGGGACCTTGTTAAGATACAGATTCTGATTCACAGGCCTTTGAGGGGAGAGGGGCTGAGACTCTGCATTTCTGACAACTTCCCCAAATGATGCCAGTGAAGCTGGTCCGTGGACCTCACTTGGCTAGCAAGAAACTAGAAGGCTATATTGTTTGATGTCTGAAAAAAGTAGGTTTCAAAAGGCAAGCAGTGGAATCAGCTGCGGTGAGGGGGAGCTACCTATACTTCGTTGGGGGGCAAAAACTCTCTGGGTAGTATACAGGCTGTGGTAGGCAGCCTCTAAAATGAACCCCATGGCCCCTACCTACTGGTATTCACATCCTGGTGTAATTTTCTCCCTTTGAGTATGGGCTAGATGTAGTGACTCATTTCTAGTGAATGGAATATGGCCGAAGGCATGGGATGTCACTTCTGAGATCAGGTTACCAAGGACTGTGCTTCCTGTCTTGGGTGTTCTCTCAACTTGTTTGGAGAGAAGCCAGCCTCCATATTGGGAGCAGCTCTATGGGGAGGTCCACATGGCGAAGAACTGACGAAAGCCTCTGGCCGACAGTCGGCCAGGAGTGAAGGTCCTCAGTCCAACAACCTGCAAGGAACTGAATCCTGCCAACAGCACGCAAGTGAGCTTGGAAGCAGGTCTTCCCCTAGTGGAGCTTTCGGAAGGGACTACGGCCCTGCCCCCAACACCTTCACTGCAACCTCCTAAGACCTAGAGCCAGAGTCCCCAGCCACCCTGCCCCTGGATTCCTGACCCACAGAAACTGAGATGTAACGATGAATGTCTTTTGTTTCAAGTTGTTAAGTTTCAGGGTGATTTGTTCCACAGCAATAGATAATTAATGCAGATGCTAGAAAGGATAATGTTAATAGTTCACAAGGCCTGCTGGACAGGCATGTACCTGAGGTTCATGCAGTGGACTGGGTACTCTGAAGGACACTAGCTACGCATATATGGAACCAGATCAAGTCCACACGGTGCCAGTGCCCAGTGTAAGGAGTTCCACATACGCATACACACATATTAGTTTTTCTGGCTTCTTGAGATTGAGCATGTGTACAACCCAAGAGAAAGACCATAGCCAGAAATAAAGTACACACCCCCCCTAGGATGCAGAACGACAAAGGAGAGCAGTCCTGAAAGTCTGGGCCAGGGCAGAGTCTCCCTCAGGAGCGACCTGTGTCCACTGTTGCCACATCCATTGGTATGTGTACGCTTACGACCTGCCATCTTCCCGCAGAGGTGATCTTCTCTGTCACCTGTGTCCTGAATTCCATTTATTATTCTAGGAAACACTACGGTTATTAACGCTGCATCTTTCCCATGAACCACTCCGAGGACCAAATGCATCTCTTTTGTAACCAGATAAAAAAGCAAAAAACCAAAGCGATCATTTGAATTGGTGTAATTCCCATGTTTCCTCCAACAGTGGCCACCACCTCCAGCTCTGCGCGATGCTTGCTCTATGGCTCCCCTGCTCCCGCGAGGTCCCCGCAGGAAGAAGCAGGAAGAACAGGAAGAAGGTGTGGGGAAGAGGATGAGGCCGTTGTGCTTACACAACACAGTCGCCCCGGGACCTGTGTGTGCTCCTCTGCCTTGTTACCCACTACCGTCACACTGCTTGCTCTGGGGGAGCAGACCAGGCTCACTTTGAGGGCAGGTATCCGTCCATGAGGGGAGAGGACTGGTGGCCCCGGGGAGCTGACTAGCTCGAGAGTCATCACGGAGTTTCCGTTTCCACCAGCCTAGAATGCACCTCACACGAGCACCCTGCGTGAGCCACGAGGGGTTCTGAACTTAGCCAGTTGCGGTGCTGAGTCAGGGCTTGGCCGATGGGAGGAGCAGACAGTGCCACATGGAGGAGGCTGACCCAACAGCCGGGACCTTCTGTCCCTCTGCACTGCCAGCAGCAAGGCTGACGGACAGTGCGGGTGCCCCGGCAAGGTCTCCAGCAGTGGGGCTAACCCAGACACCCTCGAGGGCCAGGCTGACCGCGAACTTACAAGGGAGTCAAAGCTCATGAGATGGTCACTAAATTCGTTTTCCTTTGAAGCAAAGACCAAACAGACCAGGAAGAAAAAGACATTTATGGTAAAAGACGCTAGCCCTGGGGTGCCTGGGTAGCTCATCAGTTGAGCATCTGACTTCGACTCAGGTCATGACCTCACGGTTCACGAGTTCGAGCCCCGCGTCGGGCTCTGTGCTGACAGCTCGGAGCCTGGAGCCTGTTTCGGATTCTGTGTCTCCCTCTCTCTCTGCCCCTCCTCCGCTTGCCCTCTGTCTCTCTCTCTCTCTCAAAAATGAATAAACATTAAAAAAAGTAAAAAACAAACAAATAAATAAACAAAAGATGCTAGCCCCTTGGTCTAATTTTTGTTCTCTTTCTTGATACATTCATGGGTCTGTGTTTCTCCACTAGAGGAAAACACGTAGAGCAAGAGGGATGACAACTGAATTCAGCATCGGTGTTCGAGAGTGCCAAGAGGGCCCGCCTCACCCAGGCAGCTGCCCTCCCTCTACCACGCACCGCTGCCTTGTGGAATACGGGTCCATTATTACCAGATTGAATGGTGCTTTCAAGAGAAGCTGGAAATCCAGATATTTTTAAGTAAAATCCCCTAATATTTAAATGTTTCAATGTTTTCAAGACACAGCAGACTGAAAGGAAACACATCGACGGGCCTTATCTGGCCCTCACGTTGCCCATTTATAGCCTTTGCTCTAGGCTGCTGAGGGAGACACCGCAGGGAAAGCAGCCTGAAGACAGAGGTGCCCACAGGGGAAGCACCACACGTGCTTGCTTGTTGCTTCTGCTGCTCCCTGGGGACACAATGCCTGCCCTCGGCAAGGACACACGGCATGGACAGGAAGCAATGCCCCGTCCAAGCTCAGGGTCCCTCTGGCCCTCAGAACTCTTGCCTGGCTACACTCACTCCCTGGGTAACCAGCTAAAACAGCAGTACACGGTGACGGCAGACTCGCCGTCTCCACTCGGTTTCTCCCGAGTGTCAGATTCCCATGTCCCACTGCCTACTTGGAATCTCCGCGTGGAAGCCTAACAGGTACCTCAGGTTAACATGACTGAGTTGGTGCCTTGTCTCGATTCCGTCCGGCACGCCTCGTCTTCCCCAACTCCATAATGGAGTCACTGGTACTCTGTTGCCCCTGCCAAACATTTAGAATTTCTCTCCTTCCTCACACTCTACATCCTCCCCATCAGGAAGTCCTGTCAGTGCTATGCTGTAAACAGACCCCAAACCCAACCCCACCTCCTCACCCTCCCTCGTGACCCCCCCATCCTGTCTAAGCCCCCAGTACCCGTGGCCGAGATCTCACAATAACCTCTACCTAGGTCTCCCTGATTTTCGTCACAGCCCTCGATGGCAACTTCTCCACAAAGCTGTTGGCGGGCTTAAAAAAATATAAGGAGACTAGATCTTATCACTCTTCTGCTTAAACCCTCCAGGGGCTTCCCAAAGCCAAACCCATTATTACTATGACTCTCAGGGCCTGACGGCCTTGAACATCCCTGTGGCTCCTTCCTTCACTTCATTTAGGTTCCTGCTCTCACACCGTCTCCTTCCGAGAGACCCTTGCTGACCACCCCTCTGCAGCGGCTCTCCCTCTTTCACCCCTGCCCCCATTCAGACCCCGCACTCCAGCTCTTAAGTTGGGTTTCTTCATTTTTCTTCTGAGCACTTACTCCTGCCTGACATATCTGTTGTCTCTCCGTCTCCTACCCTGGAATGTGAGTTAAATGATATCAGGGCTTTGTCTCTTATTTCGCAATGTATTCTTACAGCCTACAATGGTGCCCAGCACCTTGTAGGTGCTCCATAAATACCCATTGGGCTGGATGAACTGATATAGCTCTACATGTAAGCTTCCAGGGGCTGAGGCCAAGGCCTGATCCAATTGCTCACTGGGAAGTCTACTCACTGATTGAGGAAGGCAAAGAGGTATCTCATGATAATCAGAGTGGTTTTGGGCAGGACCAGGAGGACTTTCCGGATGTGCAGAGCTCTCTCCTGCAGGCTGTCCATAGCTGAAAGAAGAAAGCCACGTGTCAGCCTCCATTGCAACAGAGATCCCGGGGAGTAACGGTCAGAGGGCCCTTACTTCCAGCAGGTGCTGCACAGACAGCGGCCAGACCAAGACTGCACAGCACTGGTGCTCCACATAAGGAGTTCCATCCCTGTGGCCCCGTGGGGCTGGACTGCTGCCATAGGGTACATGCTGGGCTCCAGACACCTACTGATTATAGGACTTAAGGAATATGCACCTTGGGCACTGAAGGGGTTGGAGATGGTCCCCAAGCACCTACTACCCTCCAATGAAAACCACAGACAAGGACCGTCCATAAACCTGCTATGACTAATTGCTCAACATCCAGCCTCAGGGGTGTACATGTGGGGAGGGAGACAGGCTGTGCAGGTCCTGTCCCGCTCACTCTACACGCGTCTCACCTCACCCTCTGGACAGGTCTGGCTTATCTTCCCTTCCCTTATCTGCAGTGGGTTGAGCAGAATGTGGCCAGAGGCAAGAGATGGTAGATGCCTGATAAATAGTGAGATCTGGGGAGAAGACCAGAGAAGTTTCCTGACTCTTGGGCTGTGGAAAATCAATTACAGGTAAGACCCAAGGCTGGCGGACTCCATCAATGCCAGTCTCCCCACTCCCACAGTGGGCCAGATGGATACTGTCATTTTCTAGGAGTGTCTTTCTGTGAAAAAGAAGTGGAAAGCAGTGGGTTTAGGAGCACATCTCGAGGGGAGAAGTGGGCAGCCAAGGTGTCTTGAACTGTCTTGGTAGCCCCAGTCCACTTAAGATTTTTATCTAAGCCCAGTCCCAGAAAAAGATGTGAGGACAGGAGGGGTGCATATATTTAATCACCCACCCACAGCACTGATTTCCACCAGACTCCCAAAAGTAGTGGGTCAACAAAACAAGAGAGCTTATTGAATGCTCTGGGTCCTCAGAATAGCAGATAGGAACAGTGTTCAGGGCATACACTGAGTCAAACTTGAAACCTGGGGGTGGGGGGGGGGGGTGGGTGGGCAGAAAGACCCTGGTGCATCTAGGAAGAAGGTTCTTTTCCCCATGTCCAAGGCACTGCCTTCTCCAGCCTCTGGAGCCATCATTCCATTGGGGTCTACTTCCAGGATGAGCTGGTATTAACCTAAGTTTCCATGGAAAACAAAACAGGATAATGAGCTAAACTAAATGGTGGGAACAGCTCTCCAAGCCCCAAATTTGAGAGTAAGAGGCAGAGAACCTGTAAGAAGGACAAAGTAGAGACGATATCCCTTTCTAGGAAAACATCATATCATTACTTTTAAGTGGGCAGAAGGGTTCTATTCCTTAGAAGAACACATATTAACACATCCAGCAGGTAAGCCATGCCATGTTTAAAGCAACAAACAGAAAACATTTCTCTCTTTATATCATAAAAAGCATGGGCAGTAAATGTCTGAGCTTCCAATAACTGAAAAGGACCATGTCTTACATACTATTAGAAATGCATTTTACTGGGGATGCCAGGATGGCTCAGTCTGTTAAGTGTCTGACTCTTGATTTTGGCTCAGGTTATGATCTCACAGTTTGTGAAATCGAGCCCTGAGTCAGGTGGGCTGGATGCTGAGAGTGCAGGGCCTGCTTGGGATTCTCTCTCTTCCTTTCTCTCTGCCCCTCCCTGCTCATGATCTCCTTCTCTCTCTCTCTCTCAAAATAAATTAAAGAAAAAATTAAAAAAATTAAAATTAAAAAAAAAAAAAAGAAATGTATTTTATTGAAGAAAGATAAAGCCCAGCAAAGCAAGGAGTTTAAGGTAAATCAGAAAAGAAAAGGCCAGGAGTTCTGACTTGTCCTAGACTCTTCCTGAAAACTCATCCTTCCTCCCTCCCTAGTAGGGGGTGAAGGATTGAGGATGAGGAGGAGACACTTTACTGAGGGAAAGGAAAAAGAGAAACATTATTGAAAAGTTTATGGGGGGAAAGAAGATCCCGTGGAAATTGCTTGTCTATTGCTATGAGGTGTTCTTTCTTGCCCAGAAGCCAGTCTGAGGCCAGGATGTACTTACTGACGCAGGCCATCAGGTCATGGAAGATGTCCTTGGGGAAGAGAGGGTGTTCTAGCCCCCGGAAGTAAAGCTTCAGGACGCCAGCAATGGAGTCCATGTCATGGTCATTCTGGTCCCCAGCCAGGGGGTCCTCTCCTGAGGATAAGCAGCCCCCCAAAAAGGAAAAAGAGAGTGAGAGAGGTAAAACCCCACAGGACAAAGCAGAAGTGGTGGGGAAGGGCTGGCTTTCCAAGTCCTCATCAGAGTCCATCAGCTCTGTGCCCGGCATGCTGGCCATGAGTAGGATGGACCAGAGACTAGATAAAGCAAAGACTGCTTAGGCTCAGGGGCCCCAAGGAGAGAAGAGGGCACAAGGGTCCATTAGGATAAATTGGCTCGTGCCAGACTCGTTCAGGGACATTCCCTCTGGGTTGGGATGGGACACTGCAACAGGCCCTCTCACAAGAATCATGAAGCCAGGCCGGGACTGAGTCCCTGGGGAAGGAAAATGAGGCCAAGGTGGCCAGCCACTCTGACTCGCTCTTACTCCTCCTGGCTCGCAACAAAGGACACCTACTTATGGGAGAACAATCACGCTGGAGCTCCCTATGGAAAATTTCGTATCAGATGTAATTAGATTTAATGATAGGACCAACCTCAAATTGAGACTATATATATCCATTATAGTGACGGAAATTGCCAAAGCTTGCCCATTACCTTAATGGCCCACAAGATAATAAATGGGCTACGATGAACAGGCGCATTAGCCTTGATATTAACTGCCACCAAGGGTTCTGGATAAAACCGTAAACCACCCAGATATCATAGTTAACTTCTTGGGTTTCGGCAGATCGTCCACAGGCGAGAGGCACGATGAATGGGCTGAGGAGGGAGCTGGGATGTGCCCTGGCATCTCCCTGCACGTGTTGGGGAAGACTGTCCATGAGACAGCAGGTGCTGGGCTAAAGAGCTGGGTGACCTCTGGGTACCTCCCAGGGGAGACAGGGTGGAGCCAACACCCCAGGGGGCTGGCAGACATTTGGTCTTATCTTCAAGCCTGTTCCCTTACCTCTCTCAAAGGCGTTTTTGATGTCATTCACTTCCACCTGGGATCCCGACACCCGGAAGATTCCTTCATGCTGTAGTCCTGGAAAGACAGGGAAAAGTGGTCAAGGAGAGGAAGAAACAAAGTCATAGCCACAGCTCCAAGCTTGGTTGGATGTCTGTGTCCTCCAGCCAGTGTGCATTTAAGCACCGTGTCTCTATCCTTCAGGTCAAAGGAGAAAGCATGTGCAGGGATGCTGGAGAAGTCCCTGGAATGGGTATACAGGAGGCATAAACAAAGCCAAAGATGTCTACACATGGCTCCATTTCTGATTCTGAGGAAGACCAGGAAGCAGGTTCCTCCCCCGCCTTTGCCTCTCTGTTCCCATCTGCCAAGTGACATAGTGACCCCTGGCACCTTCTTATCACCCCCCTGCCAGGAATGGGCACTGGGGGTATGGTAGGCAGGCCTTAGACACCGTTGGAGGAGTTTCATAAGGCCGGAGATACAATTCCTGCTTCGGCTGTCCTAACGCTGCATGGCTCCTCTAGGGCACAATGATTTGAATATTCAGGAAAGAGAGAGGACAGGAAAAGGCAAGTGATCAGTCAACAGAGCACCGTCAGTACCGTGCTGGCCGCTGGTCCTCGACCACAGCTTCGCTCAGAGACAAATGTGCATAGATGTGACAGTGTGATAATGGGCGTGAAAACTGTGTCCTCTTGGGTTTTGTTAGAGTAGAAACAATCACTAAAAATAATAATACTAATGCATGTGCAGGGACTGCTGCTAAAAATGCTTTCCCAGAAATAAATCAACTCGTACTCACAACAGCCATTAAGGCAGGGCTCACCAGCAAGCCCATTTTCTGGATGTAGGAAGGGATGTGTGATGACCACCCCCCACCCCCTTAGGTTATGTAGGCGATAAGAACCAGAGTCAGGAGGCCAACCCAGGCCTCTGGTTGCCATTATGTACTCGCTCCTCAACACTAGGCTTGTGGGGCCAACCAGAGGGAAAATGCAGGCAGGGCGGGAACCCATTTGTTAGTCTGAACAAGGATGTGGCTCACAACCCCACACAAGGGGCTACAAAGGTGGTAAGAGAGGAAGCATGCCTTTACTGCTGGCCCCAGAGGTCAGACCGAACTAGCATCTGTAATCGCATGAGGCTTGTCAGCCGTTCTCAGGAGCCCTGTGTCTCCGTCTTGGGCATCTTGTCCAAGTTCCTCTGCAATGGCATGATTGATCAAAAACTCTGACATGTCAGGGAAATCTCAAACAAATTCCTTTTTAAGAAAAAAAGAGTAGAACTGCCACTGTTTCAGGGATACCCTCTCGGTGAAGGGGTGACTGGATTCTGTCGGCTAGACCTTTGAAGGTAAATCACACAGGCCAGGACTATAATCTTGAATCCAATTGAAGCAATATTAAGAAGCAAGCAGGGGGAATTTAATTACCTGGCTTGTAATAGGACTTAAGTTGTTTGCTCCTCTAAGGGAATCTCCAGAATATTCCTCAGAGAATGGCAGACAACGTTAAAACCCCATTAGTATCAATGTAATAGTACCATATTAGTTACCAATGGGATGTAACAGCCAAATAATGGCATTTAAACACAGAATGTAAACAGCAAGTGTTGTGATAGAAACACACACCCTGTGACTTGTCAAAAACACAGTATAGTATAAGGAAATGTCATCTCAGGGCCCAGGCCACTCAGTGTTCTAGGTGAAGCCAAGAATTTGCTGAGAGAGGATCACTTCGGGACTTTTTAGTAGATTGGACCATCAACGAAAAGCCACTTTAGCCCATGGGCCCAGGACATGAAGAAATCAGAGGAGAGCTTACTGGAAGTCAGGCAGCAGGCCTGAAACACATTGAGATCCCCTTCCGTCTGGTTCCCATTTCCCCTTGAGAACCTCTGCTTTAGAAGGATAGCGATATGTTTTTGCTCAGCAGACAGAATCTTCAGAGCATCTAATCTCATGACACTGAAAGTAGGAACACTGATAAGTGGTTGGTTTCCAGCCGTAAAGGGGGAAAGCAGTGGGCTTTTTATGAGAATGCAGGTAAGGCCTCATAGGACTAACCTGAGCCATCTTCGATCTTTCTCTTTTGTTCTTAGAGCACGCCAGCATGCAGGTATAAAACCACTCAGAGGAGGGTAAGTTACAGCATGGAAGCAGCACACAACCTTCCATTTTGCACCGGATCCAGCTGTTGCCAAGAGGTACTCTCCGTGAGAATTCTTGAAATGGTTGCTACAGTACTGCCTCGCGTTACTTGGCTCCCTTGTGCGTAAGTGGGGTTTTCCTACCCTGATTCAGTCTGTCGTTCCCCAAATCCCTCTTCTTTAAGTCTTCCTGGATCACCCTGACGACTATTTACAGACGAGCCTCAGCTTTCTCATCTATACAATGGGAACTATAATATCTACCTCCTAGGGAACACAAAGTCAGTAAGGATGTACAAATCCCAGCAGATGGTGGGTCACAAACCCTTTTGGGACTGACAAGTGTTACAGATCCTATCTCCACTAAATGCACATGCACAAAAATTTTAACCCTGATTCATGGGGCGTTCAGAAATACCTTGAGTCCCCATGTGGGGGAAAAAGTTCAGTTTAGCCTAACAAATGTTTTTTGAACAACCACTATGTACTATGGTGTTTTGTTTCTTTCCTTTAAAGCAACAATATGTTTATCTATTTGGTCAGTCCTGGAATACACATAAAATGGCTTCAGAATTGATAGCCCATATCCGATTTCGGTTCAGGTCATGATCTCATCGTTCGTCAGTTTGAGCCCTGCACCGGGTGAGCACGAGCCCCTCTTCTCTTCTGTTTCTCTGCCCCTCGTGGGATTCTCACACTCTCTCTCTCTCTCTTTCTGCCCCCATCTCACTTGTGCCCTCTCTCAAAAAAAAAAAAAATTACCAACAACTGTATAGTATTTGTTTATAGCTCTTGTTGTCTTTAGACTTACAGTATAGTATCAAAATACTGTCGTCAAGGATGCCTGGGGGGCTCAGTCGGTTGAGCGTCCGACTTCGACTCAGGTCATGATCTCACAGTTCGTGGGTTCGAGCCCCACGTCAGGCTCTGTGCTGACAGTTCGGAGCCTGGAGCCTGCTTCGGATTCTGTGTCTCCCTCTCTTTCTGCCCCTACCCACTCACCCTCTGTCTCCCTCTCTCTCAAAAATGAATAAATGTTAAAAACATTTTTTAAAAAATACTGTTTTCTAAAGTTACTTGGATTATTTTCTCCCTCATTCATTTGTTACACACTTAGGTTTACTCACTACTGTCTGTATTCCACTTGGGGTTTTACCCACATCCTTGTTTTATTTATCTGTTTATTTATCTTTTGAATATGGGAAACACTAATGTAGTTCTGAAAGCCACAATTATACAAAAGCAATATTCAGAGAAAATGTCACTTCCCTCCCATTTCCCACCCCCCATTCTTTTTACCCCTCTTCCACCCGTTTCCTGTAGATAAACAATCAAATATTAGTTTCTGGATTCATCCTTCCTGTATTTCTTCTTGATGAAATGAGAATACACATGTACATTCTCCTATTGTCTTCTTTGTACCAAAAAGGCAGCATGCTATCGACACTCTTTTGTACTTTGTTTTTTTCGCTTGACAACATATTCTGGAAATCTTTCCAGGTCATTTCATGGAGACCGTGCTCATTCCTGCCTAGTATTCAGATACAACGTAGTTGATTCAACCGCTCTTCTGTGTGAGGGTATTTAGGTTGTTTCTAATATTTTTACAAACGAGGCTGCAACCAGTAACCTCGGGTGTATGTATTTTCATTGTTGGAGGTGTATGTTTCAAGGTAAATTCCTACAAGGGCTGCCGGACCAGAAGACAAACGCATATGCAGTCCTGTTGGACACTGACAAATTCCCCTCCAAAAGGGTTGTACCAGTTTGCAATACAGCCAGCAACATGCGAGCACACCTGTTTCCCCAGAGCCGCAGCACAGAAATGTCCCCGCGTGCACTGTGCATGTACAGGGGCAGGGATAGGTACATTTGAGGCCCAATATATGGAACCATCTCCCCCTCAGCTCCTCCACAGCTCACACTCTGGGCCTGGCCACTGTCGTGTCTTCTGCTGCCCACAGCCTCCCTTCTTCATATATCTTTGTCTCTTTACATATGCTTTAAAGTTTCCCATGCTTGGGTGGCTCAGTCGGCTGAGCATCCGATTTTGGCTCAGGTCATGATCTCACGGCTCGTGAGTTTGAGCCTCGCATCAAGCTCCCTGCTGTCCGTGCAGAGCCCGCTTCAGATCTTCTGTCCCCCTCCGTCCCCACCCCCCACCCCGTCCCTGTTGTGCTTTCTCTCTCAAAAGCAAATAATGCCTTTAAAAAAAAAAAGAGCTCTCTCTGTTCAAACTTCTCTAGTAGCTTCCCACCTCACTCAGATTATAACCCAAACACCTCCCTTAGGCAATGAAGTCCTAAGCGTCTGGCCTCTGGCTTCATCTCCTGCCCCCCTCCTCTTCCCTCTCTCCGCTCCAGCCACACTGGCCTCCTGCATGCTGGCCCCTGCTGCCAAGGACCTCTGCATTTGATGCGCCCTGTCTCTGACACACTCTTCCCAGATGCCACGTGGCTCACTTCCTCGCTTCCTTTCAGGACTCCGTCCAAATGTCACCTCTTAGGGGAGCTGAAGGCCTTTCTCTGAACAACCCATCCAGAACAGTGTCCCCTCTCCATTCTCCTCCTCTTCACCTCGCTTTTCTTCATGACACTCACCATCAGAAGACACCCTGTATGTTACCATGTTTATTTATTAACTGATCAGCCAAGCATCTATTTATCTGTCCTTTAGCAGGATATACGGCTCACGAAAGCAGGAACTTTTCCTTGGCACACAATGAGCAATCTCTCTCTCTCTCTTCTCTATTTGTTGGATGACCGAATGGAATGCATGGACGAAGCAGTAAGAGTGCAGACTCTCATCCTCTTATTGTCCTTTAGACACAAATAATTTTTCCTCCCCTGAACGCAGTTTGGACTTATCTTTGCCAATTATTTGATCATTAATCATTACTATCTTGTGGAATTTCTTCTACTGCTCCTCTGAATTGCTATAGCTTATCTCCTTTGATTTAGCTTTTCAATTGCTTATTTATTTTCTCCCAACCGCATCATAAAACCAAGTAAAGACAAGAGAAGTGCGTTATTCCTGTTTTTGTTTTCCTATTTCACAATGCATGGTGCCCAGCACTGATCAGGTGCTTGATACATATTTGTTCACTGTTGATATACAATGCTGTTACTTCAAGTAAATAGAGACAAGATGAGAAAACTGTAGCTGATTAGAACGGGCTAAGTTGTAAGCAGGCTAAAATAATTACTATTCCAGAAACAAAGGCAAGCAAGGTCCCAGCGCACTGGGAGAGGAAGGGAGAGAAATTGGCTACCTCTGCACCCAGACCAGCAATCACCCACATACCTCCTCAGCTGCAAGAAGGTCATTCTGTCCCTTTTCCTCTAACTAGATAAGACAGCTTCTAAAAACAATGTCTGATGTCCAGTTCCTAGAAATCTCCATGGCAGTAGCTCAGGTATCTGTGCTTTCTAAACACTCTTACACTTACAAGCTTGGTTCTCTGGCAATTCATCTCCACCCCTAGATTCTGTGCAACCAGCCCGGGAGCTAGTGAGGGGTGGAGTTTATGAGACCCAGCTCCATCCAAGCAGCAGACAGAGTGATCGGACTTAGGCCGAGAAGGAGCCAGCCCCTGAAGGCTCTCAAAGGTGGGCTACAACTTTACACTGGCGACTAACTGAGCTCCAGGTGATGTCGTATCCAGCAAGACCACAGCAGAACCAGAACCTGAGTATTATCAGGAATCAGGGCAACATCACAAAAGGAGTTGTTTGCAAAGGAGTCCGATGCAGAAGGTCAGCGTGTCAGGAGATACTGACACGTGCAAAGACGGTGAGTAATGGCGAAACTGTCACCACACCACCCCAGCTGTACTTACTCCTGTCACAGCTGTAATTTAAAACCCGCTCTCAAGCTAGAAGAGGGAGTGTGGTAAGTGGCTGAGGCATTTTGGGTCAAAGCATATGATGTCTTTCTCTCGATGTCTAGGTGGGGCCATTCAAAGGTAGCAAACATTATGCGAACAAGTTAAGATTTTATTCCGTTTCTGAGAAGGTCAGGAGGAAAAGTCGGTCTCTGTTCTTACTCCACAAAGAATTCCTGGAAGCTCTTCCCAGCTTTGCACAAATATGGGCAAGGCTTTAATCCTACTTACCGTGTCTGCTGATAAACCGGATACAGCTCTCTACCACCAGAGGAATTGCCTGGCTGGAATCCTGAAAAGCCGAAGAGAAACACAGCATTAGAATCTTTAAACAGGCATAGCCCAGAGTCAGAGTAAAATGGGCCAGACTGTGCAGAACTTGTCTCAGCTGGCTCAGTGGCCGGTCCTCAAAGAAGCATCTGGCCTCCTCCAAGCTCCAGAGAGCATACACAACCGCCTACTTGGAATGCCACACGGATGCCTTAAACTCAGCACGTCCTAAATGCAACTGATCGTCTTCCTTCCCAAACCAGCTTCCTACCCTCAGCCATCCAATCAATCAGTCAATATGCTTTGTCAAGTCGGCCTCCTAAGTATCTCTCAAATGCATTCACTTCTCTCCATCTCTACTGCCATCAGCTCAGTCCTTACGTCAGTATCTCAGTTCCCACCCTTGCTGTCCTCCAGACCATGTCATCCTTCCTTAAAATAGTGGCTGGGTGATCTCTGAAAGTGCACACCCCATCCTTCACTTCCTAGGCTAACCTCTTTCAAATTTTTTTAAAATGTTTTTTTTTTTATTAAAAAGAATTTTTTTTTTAACGTTTATTTACTTTTGAGACAGAGAGAGACAGAGCATGAATGGGGGAGGGTCAGAGAAAGGGAGACACAGAATCTGAAACAGGCTCCAGGCTCTGAGCTGTCAGCACAGAGCCCGACATGGGGCTCGAACTCACGGACCGCGAGATCATGACTTGAGCTGAGGTCGGCCGCTTAACTGACTGAGCCACCCAGGCGCCACTAAAATGTTTTTATTTAATTTTGAGAGACAGAGAGACAGAGGAGTTGGCGAGGGACAGAGACAGAGAGAGAGGGAGGCAAAGAATCTGAAGAAGGCTCCAGGCTCTGAGCTGTCAGCACAGAGCCCCATGCTGGGCTTGAACTCACGGATCGTGAGATCATGACCTGAGCTGGAGTCGGACACTTAACCCACTAAGCCACGCAGGTGCCCCAAGGCTAACCTCTTTCAAAGACTCCTTGTTAGTTTCTTTACACAGCCCTGCGTGTCCAGGGTCCTGCCTTTGCCTCCAACTTCATCTCCTTCTGCTCTCCCTCCAGTCTCTGTCAGCCGCACCAGCCTAACTTTCCATTCTTTAGAGAAGTTCTCTGTCCATGGCTTTGCGCGAACTGCTCCTGCTTCTGGAATGTTCTCCTCACCCTGGGATCCCACCCCTTAGGGTCTCAGTGCAAGTAGCACCTTCTTAGGAATGCTTCTCCAGACTCCCCCGATGAGATCAGGGCCCCTGTCCACAGGGTCTCAGCACCTTGCACTCAGCTCTCACAACTTAACTCACACAGTTAACAGTTGTGTTACACAACTTAACAGTTGTGACTTAACTGTGTGGGTATGAAGATCTCATTTGCATTTGTCACCACCATAGCTCATGCTCCACAGGGCAGATCCAGTCAATTCGTGGATCTCCAGGGCTGGCCATGATGTTCTCACATAGTAGGCGCTCAATTAATATCAGTTGAGGGTATCAACTGATGAACCAATGGGAGCAACAGAAAGGGGGTTTACTTGGCATAAAAGGTAGGGAAGAAAAAACCCAACTCTTAGAAATAGTGGAAACTAATTGGTACTAAACTAAGAAGCAGATGTCCCAGATATCAATCTTTGCTCTGCCATTTTGCTATACATCCCTGTCATAATATTTAACTTCTGTGGGCTTCAATTTGATGCCTACAAACTGGGGAGGGAATAGGTGGTGAGAAGAGTAACATTTCCTGTTGGCACATGAACATTAGAGCTTATCATTTACAGAGAATTTATACAGGTGGTGGGTCAGGTCCTAGGTGCTTTAGCAGGACTGGTCCTGATAACGACCCTATGGGGTGTGTATCCTTATCACCATCCTTGTTTGACAAGTGAGGAGCTGAAGGCCAGGCAAGGTGAAATAGCTGCTTACAGTGACTGCCACAGGCAGTAAGTGGCAGGGCAGGGGTCCAAACCCAGGCAGTTTCCTTCTGAGACTGAACGAACATCTTACCGCCACCCAACCTGCATCCCAGGAGCTCGACAAACGTTGCCAAATATGCGTGCCAAGCATTACTGAAAACCAACAGGGTTTTATAACGCAGCTAAACACACAATCATTCAGCTATGGGGAAGAAAGATCAGGCAAAGGGCCCTAAACCTAGCTGAAAAGGGCTATAGAACTTCAGGACAGGGGCACCTGGCTGGCTCAGGGGGGGGGGA